AGCACAGAAAATGCTCAGAGAAATCTTTCAGGTGTTTAAGCTCATTCAGGGTCAAAACTGTAAAACTTCTTAAATCAATGCAGTTAGGTTTGGTGAAGAAACAAAAGTCAGAGTTTCTGGTGTTTTTTCTCTAGATCTAGCCTACAAAATCTACATAACTGGATCATTATATGTAATATTAAATATTCATCAGTTGCTATTAAGAAAAGCTAATTAATGGAACAGTACTCTTTTTTCCAACCAAGCGTAGTACTGGCATGAAATTACAAATTATGATACCTACTGCTTTACTTTACTACAGAGAGTTTACTTCTGAAATAGAGCTCCCTACTTATATCCACTACAAACTGCAGGCTGCCTCTATCAGCAAATTTGGCAAATCCTATAGTGATGAAAATGATTTTCATATAGTTAGTAAGAGCTGAAATGAACACAGCTCATAGCTGATTGCAAGCAAATATTTTGAGAGCCTTGGGTTGCATTTGAACAAGGGATCCAGAGCAAACAATCCTTGCCCATTCGCTAATCCCATTCATTAGAATCTCAGTGGTTATATCATTAGTATGATGTAGTGCAGAGACAGACTGATGGAGCTTTCAATAAGCCAGCTTACACAGCAGATGGGTTTGGCACCGATGACCCAGGTGAAGTATTTCTCTGCTGAAACTGTAGAGGCTGCCTGGCTTAGAGCAAGCTTGAAATCTCCATGTGGCAACATAGACATACTCCCCCCTGTTGTGTAGTATAGACTTGGTTATAATGGCAAATGCTATTTCAAAAAAATACCATTCCACGAGGTTGCTATAAAACAGTACATTCATGCTTAATCATAGAATGGTTTGGGTTGGAAGGGACCTCGAAAGGTCATCTAGTCCAACCCCCCTGCCATGGGCAGGGACATCTTTCACTAGATCAGGTTAGCCAAAGCCCCATCCGACCTGACCTTGAACACTTCCAATGATGGGGCACCTACAACTTCTCTGGGCAACCTGTTCTAGTGTCTCACCACCCTCATCATAATAAAATTCTTCCTTATTTCTAATCTAAATCTACCCTCTTTTACTTGAAAACTGTTACCCCTTGTCTTGTCACTACAGGCTCTGGTAAATGTCTCTTTCCATCTTTCTTATAAGCTCCGTTTATACATTGAAAGGCCACAATAAGGTCTCCCTGGAGCCTTCTCTTCTCCAGGCTGAACAACCCCAATTCTCTCAGCCTTTCTTCA